CACTGTCATTGATAGTAAATTCGCTTTCGATGGCTTCAGGCTATGTAAGGTGTCTTAGAAAGAAAGAAGTAACGTAATTGAACGCAGCCATTTTTTATATGAATATTACAAGTAAGTAATTTTATATAAATATACTAGAATGTTTAGGCATGATTATTCCCGCTTTTTTTTTTTTTTTTTTTTTTTTGCTTTAACGCGTCACGACTTTGGAATTCTATAAATTTTCAATACTTTTCGATGAGAAAACCAGATGGAAGCCATATTTGGCACACACGTCATATAAAAAATAAATGTGACAATAAATATTTAATATATATAAATAAGAAATGAAATATTCCTGTAAATAGCAATATTAAGAATCTGAAAATGTACGCGTTTAAAAAAGAATTTCCGGAAATGATAATTGTAACTTTGATTCCTGCTTAATACTTAACTGGCATTCCGATTGTCGAGCTCTTTAATTTATTATTCATGTCAATTTGTACCGGAACAGAGATCCTTTCTTAGAACAAAAAAATAGAAGACTAAAAGTATAAATTCCCAAACATAATATGTATATACCGGTTTATATGCTGGTTTATATAAGGGATGACATTAAACTATGTTGATGTCATTGAACTCATCAAAACCCAACCACACACACCAAACAAACACAAGCATATATGTAAAAATTGAAATACTGCTATAATATTAACACTGATAAAATCCGAATTAACACACGCCGCTTCATGATTCATTTCTACTTTATTCACTTGAAAATAAAAAAAAATAAACAGTAGTTATAATTTTTCTCCGGAGAAAAATTAATCTGAACGTTTCCTGTTATTAAAGTAAACGGTATTTACATGTCTGATCTTCCTTAGTAAATATTGCCAATGGTTTTAAAATGATGACAATGTTACCTTCGACGAAATTTTAAAAAAATCAAGTAACATTGCACATAATCGTTGTTTATGTATGTGCCATATGTATGCGAGTGTGTGAGTGAACAAATGAGAACGAAATGAAACAAACTAAATTTTAACAAATGTTTTATTTTCTCATTGTGTGTGCGTGCGCGTGTGTGTATTGATGACTTCAATGACATCAACTCGTCATTCAATATATATATATATATATATATATGTGTGTGTGTGTGTGAGAGAGAGAGAGAGAGAGAGAGTGAGAGAGAGAGAGTGTGAGTCTGTGTGAGTCTGTGTGTGTCTTATTAAACATGTAACTCCTAAATGTAACATTTTCGACATGGTATAATGAAGAGTTGTTTCCATATTTAATTCTATATTGCTTTGTTTCATTGGTTGTGTAAGCGTCACGTGTTCATTTTATGGGGTTATTATTTTTTGACCCATTTTGTGGCGTTTGGAATTCATCGGGTGAGGTTGCGTCCATCTGAAGTCTCAAGAAATTAATGTATTCCAAGCCTATAAAGACACACAGTAAATGTTACTATACAGAAGTTTAAAAATTTATTTTGCATCAGATGGTAATGTATATTCATAATTCTGTATGGATACGCCTAATAGACATAATGTTTACTGGTTTTTCGAATGTTGATTTAGAAAATGTATGTATGTAAAAAAAAGTTCCCAAATCAACATGCAAAAAACCAATAAACAAAATGTCTACGATATATATACATCAAAACTGCAAACAAAATAATATCAATGTAATATGGAAAATGAAAATAACAAAGTCAGCTTAAAACAACACATTAATAATAATTAATGCTTTAAAAATTCAAGTGATACTTTCTCTGATACGCTATAGCTATATACAGTGTAACCCGGATATAAGAGAGTTGTCGGGACCGGAGAAGAGGTCTCTTATATCCGGGTTTCTCTTATGTCCGGGTTTGGTCTATTATATATACATTAATCTCGATTGCTTAAGAGAGATTGTCTTCCATGTGTACATTTGCATAAAGCGTAAATACAACATTGTATATATTTTCGCGAGCAAGACAATATAATTGGGAGAGATTCTGATATGTTTTTATATTTGTATAAAGGTTACTGCTTGTACAGTGTAACCCGGATATAAGAGAGTTGTCGGGACCGGAGAAAAAGTATCTTATATCCGGGTTTCTCTTATATCCGGGTTTGGTCTATTTTGTTTACATTAACACAGGCTCTAATTTGGGACCAGAGAAAATCTCTCTTATATCCGGGTTTCTCTTATATCCGGGTTTCTTATATCCGGGTTACACTGTACATAAATTCAAATAGAAACTTGTGTTATATAGGAATAAAGAGTCGCTGCCGACACTTGAGTTTGAACAGAGATTAACAGTGATCAAACACAGGCGATCCCATTATTGAATTAAGTAGATCACATGACCATGGGGGAAACGCATGAGTAGGACGTCGCGTGACAAGTAATTGATCGTCATTTCTACTCTATCCTCTATTACTATATATCAGCTCTTCTCTACTCTATTCACTAGACTATTTCTCTATTCGGATCACCATGCGAATTACTATTCGAGCGTGAATTATCGATCAAGTACAATTAGCACGAGCGATATTCGAAGGTGTCTGAAACCAGTAATCTTCAACAGTGTACTATAATGGTATCTGCGATTACGAAATCTTTACTACAACGAGCTTTACGAGAGTGACAGCGTATATTCGTTGACATCACAAAAGTGGTAACGAATGTTCGTTGACATCACAAAAAATTGCAAGATGACCAAAAGAAAACTGAAATAGAAAACAAAACAGAATTTTCTAACAGCAAAAATAAAGAAAACCTGTACAGGAACGAGAAAATAAACAAAAAGAACGAATGAAAAAGAAACAAAAGGTAGACACGTACTTAAACAATAATTAACAGTGCACAATATCTAGGTTAATAGGGCAAAGTATGAACAATTTACATCATCACGAACGCTACATAAGTTTCATACTACTGAGATCATTAGGCGACCAGAATATCTCCCCAAATTTTCTTCTAGCGAATTAATGCATTTAACTTTTAATCTAACATTTCGTAGTGTTCCAAGCACTTTTTCTGTAGATATCCATGTTTTAGAAGACGCAGCGTTTTCTTATTAAAAAGAGTGAATTACGCCTAATGTCCTACGCATGCGTAGTACAAAATAAATTACAGACTAGTGACCTAATAAGACATATAATGCCGGAGCCACAATCCAGGAGATATAATTAAGACTATTTTTTTTTTAAAAAGTGGCCTCTACAAAAACACGTATATCTAACGAAACATTAGGACTATGAAGATATATATATATATATATATATATATATATATATATATATATATATATATATATATATATATATATGTACACGTATTACCAGTTTGTTACACGAAGGCATAATTCCGAGGAGGATATAAATACAGGGAGAGATCAATGTAGGCTACATATCATTATAATTATAATAAGATAACGATGACTTTAATAATCCATTTCAATTATAATTTATTTCGTCGTGAACACTGCTGTTCAACTCTTCAGCTCGAAATCTCCTTCATTATTGAAGAAAATACACCGGACAGACATTCTATATATATATATATATATATATATATATATATATATATATATATATATATATATATATCCAGAATGCGATGGGTAAAAGTGTCACCATTTTATATTTTTAATTTCGCGAATGCGCGTTCTTCAGCTGGGAACCTTGTGTGCGAACAGGGGCATCATGACGCAACTCACTCTTCCTGAAATTTAGAAACGTTCTGCTCTACTGCCTGAGATATCTGCCGGGAGCTCTAATAGGGAGATTTCATTGTGTTTGGCTATCAATCTGAGGAGAATGCAGAGGATTCGGAAAGAGATGGGTGCATCTAATGGTAATTATGAAGGTACGGCAGCTCGGTAACGAGAGATACATGGCCTAAAGATTGTATTGAAACTTGAAACTGACAGTCAACATACAGTGTTGATTTCTATGTCCACATATCTATATACGTGTATGTAGATAAAGACTGTGTAGACACAGGGATCAAAAGCCCATGCTGACTCCCAGTTTCACGGCACTTTACACGCTATAACAATACTTGTTCAATATAAAGATATAGGCCTTCAGCTCTCAGTGATCTATATAGAGATCCTGCGAAATAACTAGCGATACATGGTCTAAAGATTTCATTTAACTTAGTGACTGACAATCGTCATACAGTGATGCTTCCTCTGTTAACAGACCCATAAAAGTTCTATAATCTATATTGAAAAATTTTCCTCCAATAAGTACTTAATTAAGACACATTTTATGCAATATAATTGACTGGTATGAGAGTAGGTGTGTGTGTGTGCACGTGTGTGTGCGCAAGTGGATGAATGGACGCAGATATTGAATCCTGAAATGTATCTCTTTGAAATTTGGCAAACGTTGTGAATCTGAATTTCCAAATAGGAAGAAAACACGGTTAAGAGTAGACGCTTAATGTCTTTCTATTTTTAAATACAGTAATGAAGTTTTCATCGGTAGTTTCATTTTGAATAGAGAACATCGCAGATAACAGCGAACCATCACCGTATGTCCAACATATATGAATAGGAATTTAACTGTCTATTTGAAAAACGTGAGACATAAATTTAACTTAAGCGACAAACCAACTGTAAACACGAAATACATTATTCAAAAACAGATCAACAAATAAAAGAAAATTTTCCAAGTAATTTCAGATTTTCCTTCATGATTTGGGGACTCGCAGTTTGATGATTGTAAGGATATTTAAACAGATTAATTTTTAAATATAATTTAAAAAGCACTTTATATTGCACACTTTAAGGAAACGCGATATAGATTAGACAGCACTAGAGGTAGTTTTCCCCAACACCGCAAGTTGTTACTAAACCAAAACACTAACATAAGTACTAGAACCATGTTCTTAAATAGCTGCGCTAGTTTCACTAATATTCATTACCTATTTTAGTGTCTGCAGAAAGAAAGGCAGTAAAAATGACAAACTTCGCGCTCAAAAAGGTGCCAGCATCCAATCGTCAGAGATCTCGCTCGATTATGTGGTCTATCTCAACTAACCATCAAATAGATAGAGAGCTCCGTTTCTCTTCCAGTTAGCAAGTCATCAAAAAGTTTACAGATGACACGACACTTTTTAAAGTAACTCCTCCTACCCTCTCTTCATTTTGTATTTCTGTAGTGAAAGAGATAATCAGTTACCCCGAAAAAAAGTTCGTGTTTTGTGTGCGATCTGCCGAAGAAAAATTACCAAAAATTAGTTAGCAAAAATCTACATCAATGACTAGAAGCTATGCTAATGTTCTCCCCTCCCCTGAATGGTGTGGCCAATCAGAAAATTCTCTCGGTGAACAGAAGTTGTTTTTCGCTTATAAAAGGAGATGATTTTTTGGAGCTTGGTGGAACGAACATGCGTTGTTGGTGGTGAGAAGTGAAGGTTGGATGTGTGGCCCCATTTTGTCGTTTCTACGTTGTGTGTTGGACTGTTACGTCGGACTATCGTTTGAACTGCGATTTGGCTACAAGTGTTGCGTCCGAGAAACAGAAGAAATCTATTGCATTTGCTACTATCAGTTCGCAGTCTTTTCTTTACTACAACAATTTCTTTATTTTCTTTTTGCTAATTTTCAGCGTTCTTTCACTTTTGCTTATTCTCCGCATTTTTATTTTATGTTATTTTTAATTTTCATTCTTTCATAACTTTTGATTTATTCCTCCATACGGCAGCAAATGTTGGACGGTCTCCTCAATGATGAAGAAGAGACTCGAGCCAACGGAGGTATAGTACTACAGAAGGATGCTTAGGCTATCATGGACCGAACATGTGAGCAACGATGAGGTTTTAGAGAGGAGACAAACAAGGAGGAGGCTTATACTTAATATCAGGAAGAGGCAGCTGAAATTTCTTGGACACGTAATGAGAAAGGAGGGCTTGGACAATGTGATACTCACAGGGCGAATAGAGAAAAAGAGATAAGGGAAAGCAAAGCGTGACATATCTAGCGGGCAAGTGGATGACAGAAGAGAGTCTGGGAGAAGTAGGAAAGGGACAAAACTTATTGAGAGCTACAAAGGATAGGAGAAATGGAGAGCTACGAACGCCTACGCCCTGAAGGGTCACGATACATAAAAGAAGAATCCTCCACATATATTTATTTATATATTTCTTCATTTAGCGTGCATTTTTCTTCTATGGCTTTTTAAAAATTTTATTTTGTCTTTTTTCTGTTTTTTCTTTCAAGTTTTCTTTTCTATCATTCGTCAATACTTCCTTCCTTTCTTCATTTCTACTTTTTATCATTTCTTATTACTGCTTCCCATAGTTATATTTCATTCGATATTTTCTTTTTAAAATTCATTTATGCCTCATATTTTAACTTCTTAATTGAACCTAGAATAGTCTGCTTGATAGGTAGTTTCCCACAACACCGCATATTGCTACTAATCTAAAACATCAACCTGAAAACTCGGGTTATGTTCTTAAATGACCTTTAAATAAAGACTTTCATATGGATGATATGAATAGCATAAAACCCGTTTAGCTAAAATGTCAGCTGTACACATCCGCTTTCTCAGATCAACGGTTAAAGATTTCATCGTGCGAATAATGCTTGTAGGTTTTAGCGATAGCCATGCTTCTTCGATCGTTTTGGACAGGCGGTACATATTTGCAAACAAAGAATTGTGCCAAATAGCAGAAACCACTTGTGGACTTTCAACAGCAGCAATATGTAAAATGGATATCACATATCGATGTAAAATAATGACGTAATCTAGATGTTCACATTCTAGACTAGTTTTAAAAAAATGGTTAAGATGGAAACCATTATTCCTACTGGAAAAGAACGATAATAGTTAAAGGACTTGAGACACCTGTTTTCTTAATTCTTGTTTTCATAGCTAGATTTTATAAATTTGAAGTGAGATTAACACTGGCTGTTCGGGCATATTACGAGATGCCTTCCTAATGGTCCGGAATTCATTTCTTTCCTTCTTCTAGCCTGGTTGCCACCCAACGCAGTCTAAGCTGCTATTTATATCACAGAGAAGGAACAGATAGATTCATGTATTTTTCTGCGGGAATAGCATGGGAATGAACGCTATGGACTATGCCAAAATTCAAACACTTCATGTCGATTCAACTTTCTACGCCAATACAGTTTTGCTATCCGGATATCCAGCTTACTAGTATTTTTCTCTTGTCAGTATTTACTTCGTAAAATATATTTGGTAAAGTAGTACTGGTAATACTGAAGAGTCATATTTTCTCTTGTGGAATCTCCCACAACACAACCAGCCTTACCTCTTTGTAGGAAATGCACTCTTCCTATCTGGTAAGCCAAATTCTACTTTCAGACAATATAACAAGTATTCATTGGTCAATCACCTCCAATCTGGCTTGCTGATTGGTCAGTTCCGACCAATCAAACCGCCTGCACGCGACCAATCTGTTTTCACGCTCATATGCTGGGAGCCACTTTACCATTATTTAAACCGAACACATGTGAACTTTTCGAGTGGTAATTACCAAGTTTCAAGA